TCTGCAGTTGAAAGCGGGACAAGATGGGGTGGAGGCGTGGGGGGAAGCGACTGGGAAGCGGGCCCTGGTGAGTCGGGCTCTCGGGGGATCTTCTTCCCGCTGCTCTGGGTGTGCGCAGCGGTCGGGAGGGAGGCCGAGCGACTTCAGCCTTTCTCCTCCCCCTTTCCCCTTTGGGTAACCCTGCACACGCACTGGTGTGTGAGCAAGTGGCCGCTAGGCTGCCCGTGGCAGGAAGTGACCAGGTCCAGTGTGGCAGTGAGGGAGCGCCCAAGCTTTGCGAGTCCAGTGTCCTCAGTGGTTATTTTGCTAAGCTTTCCTTCTTGCTTGGATTCGTCTTTATACCCCTGCCTTCTTGTTTATCGGGTTCTTTCTTTTGATACTTTTCTTTTGACATGATTCCAAGTATATTTTGATTTATTTGTATTTCAAACTAATTTTGTCCAGCTGGAGTAAGTTTTAATGCAAAAATTTTTAGGAGCTGATATTAAAAAAAATCTGACACAGTGCGCCCTCTGGTAACACATATATACTAAAAACCTGATTTGTTTTCAATACCTTAACTCAACATCTTGATGGGTAATTTTAGGCTAGCTTTGTTAAGTAGTAATTACAGAGTAGTTTTTTTAAAAAGATTTCGAAAGTAGACTTCTTCCAAAACTGCTCTTGATGTGCCTCCCACACACGCAGACACAGCTGAGAGAGAAGGGATTTCAATCGAGTTGGTATAAGCAACTGCTCTTCCCTGGTACTGAGTAGTCTGTGCCTCTCAGATGCGCTCCGCATACCTGAATAGTACTCAAAGGAGCCCCGATCTTTGACCATTGAATCCTGTTTTCCAAAAGAGTGTGTGAGGAGGATTTATTTTCTGGCTCTACTACCATCAAAATTTGAAAAGCAAGCTATTTGAATATTTCAAGAATATGAATATACCCACTTAGTTTCTGTTTCATTTTCCTATTCAGCTTCTTTACAGTCCACAGAACGGTTATTCATGATTTTTTCACAGACGTAAGATGTTTTTCAAATTTATTCAACATCTTTTGCGGAGAAGATCACTACTTCAGAAAGACAGCGTGTGTGTGTGTGTGTGTGTGTGTGTGAAACTTGTCTGAAAAAGTAAAGTTAATGGGAGACACCATAAAATTACTTTTAAATCATGCATCTATTCAGGTATTGCAATTTCCAGCCAGGTACTATTATTTGCATTATTTGGGATCAGAATGTGGGGTATCTTTAGCCCTTTTCAAAAAATTGTAAATATCAGGTCTCACTAAATTGTCCAAGTTGGACTCCAGTTTGTGATCCTCCTACCTCAGGCTTCCGAGAAGCTATGATTGCAGGCGTGCGCTGTAATGATGGAGTTGTTTATTCCTATTTTGCTAGTGTGCGTCTTTCTGCTTTATAAAACTTCATGCAAATCCATGCCTGGATTTACTACTTGAATCAGTGGCTTTCAGACTTTTTGCTGGAACTCAAACCAAAGGCCTTGTGCTGTGCTCCAGGTTTATTTTAAAATAAACACACACACACACACACACACACACACACACACATATGCTGTCTTCCTAAGGTAGTGATCTTCTCCGCAAAAGATGTTGAATAAATTTGAAATGTATCGGTGATAGCAGTTAGTGCTAATATCTGATGGCGCACAAATGTAATCCCAGCTATTTGTCTCAGAGCCCCAGACAGGAGGATGGCAATTTTGAGGACAGCCTGGGCAACTTAGACCCTCTGTCAGAAAATAAGGGATGGTCACCTAGCTCAGAGGTAGTGTGCCCCAGCACTGCTAGAAAAAAAGGGTGGGGGGGCCGGGGAGATGGCTCAGTGGAATAAGTGCTTCCCTGGCAAGCGCAAGGGCCTGAGTTCAATCCCCGGTTCCCCCAAAAAAAAAAAAAAAAAAAAAGTGGGGGAAAGAAAAGAGAGAAAGAAGTTAGTTAATGTCTCTTGTTTGCCAAGCTACTGTGGAGATGTACATTTAATTCCTGTTTTGGCTACTTTCCCAAAAGTTCAAGTAGTTTAAACAGGTGTTGGAAGATGGCACTGGTAATTTATTGAATTAAAAATAACCAACAGATTTTATCAAATTTAAGATTTTCTTAATTTTTGATCCCAGAAGTTATGTGGTAATTATTTTTTAAGGGAAAATTACTCATGTAAATAAGACTGAGTTAAAATTCAAGGACATCTAGTTTTCACCCTAGATTTCCTGTGCAGCCAGAGTTAGACATATTATATTAAGTTGGGTGTTGTCCATGATAAGATATAATTTTGGTGAGTGAATTCCTAAATTTTGTTTATGTCTGAAAATACTGATGTACTTTACAGAGGAGTTTATTCTAACTCTTTACTTAAAATTTGTTAGTTTTTGTCTGTAGAAAAAGTAAAAAAGGCTTACTTTTCTAAAAGTTAGCTACTGCCAGCGTAGTTTTGTACTGTCATTGGTTTGGGCCTAGAGAGATCCAAGAGGAAGGATCCTTTGATTGCCAATTTTTAAAATCTTACTAGTATTTTAGTGAGGCTTCAAGCAAGAGTGGTGTTTCATATTTTTCCCTAGAATGTTTTATAAATCCACTTTATGCAGTTTTTAATCCTGACTTAAAATGCCCTGTTTTAGGAAATGTAAGTATCTTATAAAGAATAATTTTTTTTGTAAAGCTACCATTTCAGTGTTATAATTTTGTCACTTATTTTCAACATTTTAGAGGAATTTTTTTTTTTTTTTTTTGTATGAATTTAGGACAGGGTCTGCAGGATCTCACTACACAGATCGGACTTGTAGTGATTCTCCTGTTTTCAACCTCCCAAACTCTGGGATTACAGGCACGCAACCACGCCCAGTCTCAGTGGTGGCTGTCTCAGCCCGCTGTTGGAGGCAGGGCTGGCACGATGCAGGGAGGATCAACCCCAGCTGTTGCACTCTGCTGAAGCAGATGCTTTAATCCACTGAGCTATCTGGGCAGCCCTTGTTTGTGTTTTGAACTAGGAATCAAACTCAGGACCTCATGCTTACTAGGCAGGCTTTGTGCCATTGAGCTATAGCCCTGACCCTGTAGAGGTTTTTTGGGGGGGGCAGTACTGCAGATGAAACTCAGGACCTTGCACTTGCCCGGCAGTTGCTTAAGGTGCTGAGCCATCTTCCCCAGCCCCTTTTAGAGGATTTTTGTTAATTTCAACTTGTGGTTGTGTGACCACCCACCTTCTCTCTGTCTTTCTCTCTTCATTTAACTACAAGCCAATTTTATTTAAATTAGGACTGCAAAAGAAATAGTCTGTCAGCCATTCATGAATTGAATTCTGGTGGGTGAGCTGAGTTAGATTATGGTACCATAAAACAGCCATAAGCTACTTCTGTTTTGCAATAGATAAGACAATGACTGTTTCTCTTTACTAGCTTTTCTCCCCTTTTTTTGGGGGGGGTACTGTACCAGGAATCGAATTCGGGACCTTGTGCTTGCCAGGCAGGCTCTTATGCCCCTGAGCTTTCTCCTCAGTACCATTCTCCCTTCTTAATCACAGCAAAGATCTTTTTTTTTTTTGCTCCAAGGATATATTGTGGGGAATTCTCCAAATGTATTCCATCCCCAGAAAGAATGGGTATTATCAAGAAATCAACCAATAACAAAAGCTGGCAAGGCACTGGGGGAAAGGAACCCATGTCCCCTGTTTGTAGGAGTGTAAATTGGTGTAGTCAACATAGAAGTCAGTATGGAGATTCCTCAGAAAACTGAAACTAGAGGTTCCATTTTGTTCAGCATTCCCTTTGCTATTTTCCCAAGAGTTAAAAGCATCGTACCACATATTGGGTGATAGACACCCATATTGATAGCAATACAGTTTGTAATATCTAAATCTTGGAAACAGCCCAGATGGCCATCATTAGATGGATAAAGAGAAATTTTTATATAAAATGAGTGCAAATACGCCATAAATAAGGATAAACTTGACAATTTTAGGTAATTGGATGCACCTTGAGACCATATATGAATTAAAATATTGGACACACATTTAAATACTGCATTGCTTCCATTGTGTGAGAAACGAAAGCTCAAATGGATAATAGAATTTAGGAGATAAGAGGGAAATATTCAAAGGGAAAAGGGAGGGAGAAGGAAAAGGAAAACTTATTGCAAATAAGGAGGGAAAGAAGAGTTGACGGGGAATAAAACCAAGATGTATTATAAGGCCAGGCATGGTGGCACATGCCTGTATTCCCAGCACTCAGGAGGTTGAGGCAGGAGGATCATTGCAAGTTCCAAATCAGCCTGGGCTACGTAGTGAGCTGAAGGCCAGCCTGAACTGCATAGTGAGACCATGTCTCAAAAAGTATTGTGTACAGGTAGAAATTCCCTATGATGAATGTAATCTTTATGTATATCAAAAGTGTGTCAATAAAATTAATTTTTAAAAAAGTTTCTCCAGTAATGGTTCAGTCTTTTGATACAGTGAGTTGTTTACGGTAGTGGAGGGGAGGGAGCACATTGCTGGACTGTACAGATTAGTCTTATCTTGGCTCCTTGGGAATTGGTTATAGTTTCATTATGTGGTAAATCTCACAGCTGAGAAGTTCAACATGAAGGAAATATGTACTAAAGCAA